GAGCACCTGGAGGAAACCCACACTGACACAGGGAGAACATGTCGGAGCACCTGGAGGAAACCCACGCTGACACAAGGAGAACATGTCAGAGCACCTGGAGGAAACCCACACTGACACAGGGAGAACATGTCAGAGCACCTGGAGGAAACCCACGCTGACACAAGGAGAACATGTCGGAGCACCTGGAGGAAACCCACACTGACACAGGGAGAACATGTCAGAGCACCTGGAGAAAACCCACGCTGACCCAAGGAGAACATGTCGGAGTACCCGGAGGTAACCCACGCTGACACGGGGAGAACATATCAGAGTACCCAGAGGAAACCCACGCTGGCACGGGGAGAACATGTAAACTCCATACAGAGGGGCTTCCTCCTGGGATCGAACCAGGAACCATCTTGCTGTGAGGCAACAGTGCTAACCACCACACCACCGTGCTCATCATCATTAATTTTATTATTATTATTATTATTATTATTATTATATTTATATGTTCGTATATTTATGTTTGTATATGTTAATATATTTGAAGTAGTACTGACCTGACAGTCATGTGTGAGCGTCGTCCTCGTCTGTGAATCTGTCTGTGTTTGATCATCAGGTTCCAGGGCTTCTACACACACACACACACACACACACACACACACACAGTAATTATCAATAACCGATCAATGAATCAACATAAGGAACATTTAATATCTGAAACTGTCAAAATGTCTTCATGCTAACAGTTAGCCGTATGATGCTAACAGTTACCCGTATGATGCTAACAGTTAGTCATATGATGCTAACAGTCAGTCATATGATGCTAACAGTTAGTCATATGATGCTAACAGTCAGTCATATGATGCTAACAGTTAGTCATATGATGCTAAGTTAGTCATATGATGCTAACAGTCAGTCATATGATGCTAACAGTTAGTCATACAGGGCTCAACAATAAGGATTGCCCGATTGCCCGGGGCAAGTAAAACTCGCGGTCGGGCATGTAAACTAACAACTCACTTGCCTGATCGGGCAAGTTGCTAAAAATAGTCAAAGTTAATAACTAATTGATAAAATAAATGTATTTTAAAACGTGCTCCTTCTGCTCTGATGCAGCGGTCTCTCTGCCTGAAGTCACAGGCACAGCTGTGTAACAATGTCCTGCCCACAGCCCCCATTGATATTATATTGAGCGACGGAAGCTTCATATAATAACATAACAATATACTATTTATGGTGTTATGACATCATGTCATTTCTGTCTCTACATGGTCACGCGTTAACAATTCTCCTCTGCTCTCTGTATCGCACACTGCGGAGTTCCGCCACACACACAGGTGAGCACGCTAGAGTGGCTCGGGCCGCATTTTCCTGACCAAACCTGACCCCGAGCCCGGTGAAGTTTGTCAGCTGACAAAGTTATTGAAATGGACAGTGTGTAAATAACCAACAGACTGCTGTTACGTACAGACAAACACGCTGCTCTGTGCGCGTAGCACGGCACAAGTTCAGCACAGCATGCTGAACTTCAATCAATCAATCAATCAATAAATTTTATTCATAAAGCCCAATGTCACAAATCACAATTTGCCTCACAGGGCTTTACAGCATACAACATCCCTCTGTCCTTATGACCCTCACAGGTGATCAGGAAAAACTCCCCAAAAAACCCTTTAACGGGGAAAAAAACACGGTAGAAACCTCAGGAAGAGCAACTGAGGAGGGATCCCTCTTCCAGGACGGACAGAACTTGTGTTGCGTTCAGGCGTTGTCACGTAAATAACAACTTCCAGCACTTAAATAGGTCATAGCACAAAACAGCAGCATGTCAAGTGACTTTTTACTTTGATTATATTCAATACAATTGTATGTTCCTAAATCTTGAGACACCTCATGTGTAAGCTAGACAGACATTTCACCTGCTCATACTGTGCACACATGTACTGTATGTACTTAGTCCTAAAGAGCCCTTCTGGTGCCAGTAGATACATAGAAACATCCCAGCAGGCTGTGCTTTGCAAGCATACAAAAAAGTTTCACGCATGTGAAAATTATTTTTCATGTGTGTGCTTCACCTCCGCTGCTACAACTCCATCCTAGAGGAAACACTGCTGTGTGCGTTTAGTGCAACAGGTGGATGTGGTAGTCTACTGGTAGAGTAGAGAGAGAGCTAAGTAGCGTTGAAGTAGAGTAGAGCAGGGCAGAGAGATGGAAGCAAAATATATTAAACCCGGTGTTAATACAGCAGAACTGGAGAGAGGGGTGAAAAATAAATAGAGGTGGGCATGGCTCAAGTAGGGCGCAAAATTATAGACGGAGAACGATTGACAAATTTTTCACTTTAAGCCCTGACACTGTCATTTTTGTGTAGGAATTAAGCTACAATACATGACAT